TTGGGGACCTAGTTCTAGATTTAAATAAATATATTTCATTAGCTTCGGTTTCTTCTAATTTATATAGTTATCTTATAAAATATTTATATTAACATATAATTGAAATGCTATTATGACAATATTATATATTATCATATTATTATATACCTATAGATGACAAATTATTAAAAATTTTACTCGTTTTAATAAATTAATTAACAATATATGTACTCTAAATAAACAATAATTAAATACCTACTGATTATTCTACCTACGCATAATCTATTATGATAAAATAAACTGTTTACGGCGCATGCGCAACGACATAGAGTAGCGCACAGTTTTTGTTTGAATTAGCTGTTCTAGTACGTAAGTACATTATACTTCAATGATATCTATTTATGTCATGAAAACATTAGGAAGATTCTCATATTATAAGTTATAAGACAAAAACATGAAAATTAAAAAAAAATCATCACGGATGTTACATTTTAAACTTTCTTATAAACTCTTAACTAATTGGCCTGACAGACCTTTTTGCCATGGAGGTGTATAAAAAGTTTTTTTTATAGGATAAGGGTGACAAACGAGCACACAGCCCACCTGATGGTAAGTGGTTGCTGTGACTCATCAGACATCTACATTATCTTCGATTACGAATCAAAATACAGATGCGTTGTCACGCGTGAGGACTAAGATGGAATGCCTCATTTCCAGTAAAAAGGGTCTCCGGTTCTCTACACTCACCATGCGAAACACAGCAGCATTAAGCTGCTATTTAACGCTGGTATTCTGTGAGAGGTCCTTCTCCGGTCGAGCCGCCCCATTCGTGCTACAACTATACAAGAAATATAACTGCAACATGGCTCTACCACGTGTTGAGAGGGGTTGAGAGAGGTTCCTACTCAGTACCAAAATATATTGTGAGTATGAGAAATTTTGGTCCATAAATATGGAAGTAATTAATTACTAGGAATCATCGTTTCGACAGAACAAACTTATTGTGTGAATTTATCCTAAATTTGTCAAGTTATTCAGAACATAAGCCATGACTAACCAACGGTTATTTTATATTATAATACATCTATGAAAATATAAAAATAAAACTAACTACGCATACATATCGTTTTCGCAATTACGTAGATAATATTATCATAATAAGCGTTGATATCGAGAAGGCACTTCAGCGTGACATGTGTCAAATATCGTAACATGTACGGAATATAAATATCTTCTTACGAAATTGATGTACAGATAACAAAGAAAAAAAAGATAAATGATTAATGTTCATACATGTGTATTATGTATTTTATTGTTAATAACTATTAAGCATTACGTATATAATAGAATTTATATTATGACCACTGATTTTTAAATAATAAGACCAATAAAATTACGTATATTTCAAGTGACGCAGAAATCGTGCCCAACTTTTTATAGAAATTAGTGGTCTGGCTCTGAGGATCACGCATATTTAAGTAAAATTAAATAAATAAATTCAGGGGGTAATAATGGATTGTATATTTCACCCGTACACGTTACAAAATCAGCAGAAACAATGAATAGCTCCACAGACCATATAGTATTATCAGTGCTGAAGTATTACCAAAACAATCAGTAAAATATAATGTTAACAGAAATAGTCTATTTTAATAATAATGAATACTTATGTTTAAAAATTTCACACACACACACAACACACACAGACACTCACGCCTGTCACCCAGAGGGGTAGGCAGAGACTACGGACTTCCATTTGGCGCGATCCTGACACACCTCTTTCGTCTCCTTTACATCCATATATCTACGCATACACGCTCGTCGGTTAAGGGTACTCCTAATCTGCTCACTTTCAACGTATCGCCGATTTGGTCGATAAATCTTCGTCTAGGGCGTCCCTTCCCGACTTTGCCGTTCACTTCTGAAATATACATTTGCTTTGTCACTCTTTCCGCGTTCATTCTTTCTACATGACCAAACCACCGAAGCATTCCTTTTTTAATCCTGGTCACAACGTCATCTTGCAAACTACACCTTTCTTTTATCACACTATTTCTCACCCTGTTATTCAGATTCAGCCCTAGCATACTCCTTAATGACCGCATTTCTACAGCATTTATTCTACTATCATGCTTCTTCTGCCAGATCTAACTTTCACTACCATACATTAAAGTAGGGACTAACTCCATTATGAATTGTCATACGCGCCTTCTTTGACACATTCTAACTCTTCATAATAGCGTGTAGAGCCCCATTCGCTCTATTTCCTGCGTTCACTCGTCGTTCTATATCCTTATCATATCTACCATCCCTGCTAAATAAACATCCCAACTATACAAACTCATCCACTTGCGCAATCTTCTATTCTTATTTCACATAACGTTTTACTTTCTTCTCTTTCAAAAACCATCACTTTCGTCTTACTTGCGTTCACTTTCATACCCCTTTCTTTTAATGACCAGTTCATTAAAGTAACCATCATTTGCAACTCGGCCGCCGACGATGCAAATATGACTTGATCATCGGCGTACAAAAGGCATTTGACGGTTAATTCACCCATTCTCAACCCACATTCTTCAACTTTCAAAGTTTGCAAACAACTGTCCATAAATAAGTTAAACAGCCACGAGGAAGGTACACAGCCCTGTCACCTTGAATGCCAAACAATCCAAGTAGACCCCGTTGATCCTGACACAAGCAATAAAGTCTCTAAAAAGAGACATTAATGCCTGTATCAAACCAGCGCTCAACCCAAATGAGATCAGTGTTTGCCATAACACGTTCCTGTCCACTCTGTCATAAGCCTTTTCCAAGTCCATGAACGCACAAAAAACTTTCTGGTTTTTGGCCAAAAATTTCTCCGCAATCATGCGCATGGAAAAGACTTGATCCGTATACGCCATCCCCTTTCTAAATCCAGCTTGCACATCCCAAATTTTTCCATCAATATCTTAAATAACTCTTTCAATTAACACCTTAGCATACAGTTTACTCAAAATACTAAGCAAGCTGATACCACGGTAGTTTTTAGAGCCCTGCTGTGACCCCTTTCCCTTATATGTTGAGACTATAACGAGTTTGCACCAGACTTCCGGTACTCGCTTCAATTCCCAACATAAATTAAACAAGGTGTACAGCAGGCCTGCAACCACACCCTCTCCAGCTCTTAGCATTTCGAGTGATACTCTATCAAATCTGGCTGCCTTATCTGCTTTCATTCTTTTCATTGCTTTCATTATTTTATCTACACTTATCTCCCTACCTCTCTCCATTTCTCTAGGAATTTCTATTTCACCTAATTCAGACGACTCTTCACTCTTAAACACGCCTTCAAAGTATTCCTTCCATCTCTTTAAATCGAAATCTCATCATTCAGCATGCAGCCATTCTCGTCTCGTATAGCATTTATTCTAGGCTGTTTTGAATTTCCCTTGGCAGTTCTTAGGAGCTTTCAGAACATTTTAATATTTGCCTGGAAGTTATCAGATATCCTTCTATCATTCTTATCTATCCTTTCTTGCTTTTTCCTTTTTAACAACTTCTTTTACTCTCTTATTTATACGTCTAAATTCTGCCTTTTTTCTTTCAATCTCATCTTTCATACCGTCAGAATTACCAGCTTTGGTTGCTAGTAAATCTAGTCATGCTCTCTTCTTTACTTCAACTTCCATCCGTACCTCATCACCCCACCACAACGTATTACTTTTCCTTTCATTCGTGCTCTTACTTACAACACATACTTCGGTGGCTGTATCCACCAAAACTTTTTTAACATTATTCCATACATTCTTCAAGTCTAACTCATTCATACATATTTCATTCAACACACTTATATTTTCCCTCAGTCTGCATTTATACTTCTCTTTCACACCTTCATCTTGTAACCTCTCTATTCTTATACGCTGTAACGCAGTGGTAGACACAGATGTCCGATGCCGCCAACGCTTGAATAGACCATTAATTCGGCATAAGACCAAGTAATGATCTGTCCCTACGTTGGACCCACGGTAAACCCTTGTATCTACTACTAACTACCCTACCACTGCGCTCCTCATTCTTTCATCCACAATTATGAAATCTATCATGCTTCTATCATCCCCTCTTTCCCAAGTATACATGTGAATCCTCTTATGGCGAAAGAAAGTGTTCGGTACAAAAATATTCTTTTCCACACATACGGTGAGGAGGTCTTCACCATTCTCATTTATTCTTTCATCGCCAAACGTTCCTAATATCCTTTCGTAACCAGACCTCTTCACCCCAACCCTTATGTGGACGTATGTGGACTGCCGTCACGTTAACAGCTACTCCGTAATTTTTAACATAATTAAATATTTCTAGTGACCCAGACGGGCTAAAAACTCAACCGAAATGTAATTAATTGTTTAAATTTCATGTGTCAACGTTGGTGAACTGTTTCAACTTTGTTTATGGACGTAATATTGAAGAAAAAATTATACGGTATTGTCGGTATTGAGTGATATCACAAGATTTGAGTGATTAAAATTCAAGTTAAAATTACTTAAAGGTGAACTATTGTGAAATCGACTATTTTAATAAGTGTATATAAAACGTTTTCTACTTAAATCAATAAACTAAGTGAAATAGTGATTAGTGTAAATTAATAACTTCTATTAATAACTACCGTCAAATCTTTCGAATAAATTAATCATATACGGACCATTTGTTTCGTTAGTTACTATTAAAGCGACTTGGCTCATATGTCGCAACGTATGCCATAACGCATAGCTCAAGTTCCAAACCCAGTGAAAACATTTTATAATTAACTTTATTTATAATTTATTTTAAGCTTTATATAACTAAACTAAATATTTTCCTATTTTGTGAGTGGAATTGTTGCATTTAGACAGTTTCAAACGATTGATTTTCTTATTAAGTTTCGATAAAACTTTATTTTTATTTTTGCCCTTTTCTCGAACTATCAGTGAACTTTATTATAGTGCTTAGAAAATTTGTATTATTATTTTTTTTCTTCTTATTATTGGTAAAAAACTAAAAAAATGGCTGATAAAATATGTAAGGCATGTAATGACACAATCATTGATAGAGAGTTTTTGATTTGTTCCAACTGCGATGAGTACTATCATTTGAAGTGTACATACATTTCACCGAAATTATATTATTTAAAAAGTCCAAATAAAAGAAGACAATTCCAGTGTAAGTCATGTGTAAAAAAATTACAAGATAATGACTGTGTGCTAAACCAGTCCTCACCTTTAACTGAGAGCTTAGAAACGGCTACCAGAAATGTTACTACACGTAAGAAAATATTTACAAATAAAGAAGCCTCTAATTCATTTGGCTCCTTATCTGTCGATGAGAACCTTGAATACTCTTCTTTAACATCATCTCCAACACATGTGGACATAGGTGGAAGTGATCTGATTGATAAAAATACCAAAGATTGTATAAGCAAATTAAATGAAAAATTATGTGAACTACAAAGAAAACTTGATAATGCAGACAAGGAGATTGAAGACTTGATATCAGAAAACTATATATTAAAAAAGAAATAGCCGAATTTAATTCGAAACCTGAGAGATGTGTGTGTATATTATCATCTAAGATTAAGAACGCATCAAGTACAAATAGATCACAAAACATTAACGAAGTCGAATCAAACCTAGTTAACAGTGTTGAAAATAAGGAAACCCCTAATAATATTGAAAGTAAAAACCATAATTCAATAATAAATCATAAAGAACAACACAAGGTATGCGTAAATGAATATAAGAAAATTAATGGGGAAAAAAGTAAGCAATGCAGAACTGATGAACAGATACCCTTGAAGCACACTAGAAAGCTATGCATAATCAGCAGCAACAACAAAAATAATATAAAGGGCATTGCACAAGACTATTTCTCTAAAGATTTTGAATTATGTCATTATATAAAAACAAATGCTGGTATATTAGATTTAATTCAAGGCCTTGACAAAAAAGTGTTTAATTACACTTTGCAAGCTTATTGTGTTATTCTAATTGGAGATTATGACTTCAGGATATCACAAGATTATAACAGACTAGTGGAGAGCTTGAGGCAAACCATACAATGCATCACTCACACTAATATAGTAATTTGCATACCAACTTTTAGATGTGCTAAAGATACAAATATTTTTAATAGAAGAATCGAAAACTTTAACTATTTGCTGTACAAAAATATTAAAGCCCATGATTATGCATATTTACTAGATTCAAATTTGAATCTCACCTATGATTATCACATGTTCTCTGGTAAACTTGATGCCGTGAACAATAAAGGCATGAGAGCTTTGTTGGCAGATCTTAAGAGCTTACTATCAGAAATAGAGATTTCGTATATGTCTACAGACCACTATAAATCCAACAAAGGGACGCAAACTGATAAATTAGTTCAGCAAGGTGTTAGTGAAATCGTTTCGGATGTAAAATTATCAAATGATGACTTTTTTCGAAAACAAGAAAAGTAAACTTCTATATATAATGCATCAAAACATATGTGGTGCGCTAGGTAAAATGGATAATATTGAGATCATATTGGAGGATTTTTCAAGTGAAGGAAACTGTATTGACGTTATTTGTCTAACTGAACATTTTGTAAAGAATGGACATGAAACCAATTTAGTATGCAATAACTACAATCTAGCTGCCATATACTGCAGAAAAAATGCAAGAGGAGGTGCATGTATTATGACTCGAAGAGGACTTAATTACCGAGAATTACCTGAAATTACAAGAAACTCGCAGAGTACCGTATTTGAATGTTGTGCTATTGAACTTGTGTCTTTTAATGTTATAATTATTTGTTTATACAGAACTCCTAATTATAGTAATATCTCTATCTTTTTCGAAAAACTTGAAACTTTGTTGGATAGGGTTAGCAAATATAGAACTAAGAAAACTATAATATGTGGTGATTTTAATATTGATGTTTTAAAAAATTGCATGACAACTAATGTATTTATTAATCTTTTGTCGAGTCGTAACTTTAAAATTGAATTCATGGATGCGACTAGATTACAAAGTGGAACGTGTATCGATAATATCATTCATAACTGCCGTGGGTGTAAAAGCAAAATTTTACATTTAGGATTATCCGACCACACTGCTCAAGTGTTGCAATATCATATCTCAATAAATTACTCCTGCTTGCGATACTGGTTTATCAAAAGACGTGACTATAGTATTGAAAATCTAACCAAATTTAGAGAATGCCTGGAAAGCTTATCCTTTTATGATATTTATCAAAGCAATGATGTAAACGAAGCGTACAATTTGTTTTATGAATTGATTAAACTCTTTTATGACTTATGCTTCCCGTTCAACCTAGTTAAAGTTTCAGCTATTTTTTTTTTTTATTTCTAGGAGAGGGGGCAAACGAGCATGCGGCTCACCTGATGGTAAGTGACTACCGCCGCCCATGAACAACCGCAACACCAGGGGAATCGCAGATGCGTTGCCGGCCTTTTAAAAAGGAGTAGGCTCTTTTCTTGAAGGTCCCTAAGTCGTATCGGTCCGGAAAAATCCCTGGTGGTAAACTATTCCACAAGGAAGTTGTGCGAGGAAGAAAACATCTTCTAAATCGCACAGTGGTGGACCGCCAATCATCCAGATGGTGTGGATGGTATCGGGAGTTCTGCCGCGATGTGCGTTCGTGAAATTTGGCGGCTGGGATTAATCCGAACAATTCCTCAGAGCACTCCCCATGGTAGATGCGAAAGAAAATGCAAAGAGATGCAACATCTCTTCGCAGTGCCAATGAATCTAGCCGATCGGAAAGGGCTCGGTCGTCGACGATTCGAGCCGCTCTGCGCTGGATGCGGTCAAGTGGAAGGAGCTGGCACTGGGGAGCCCCTGCCCAGAGATGGGAACAGTATTCCATGTGAGGCCGAACCTGCGCCTTGTAAAGTTGCAGGCGGTGTGCCGGCATGAAATACTGTCCCGCTCTGCTGAGCACGCCAAGCTTTTTAGAGGCCAATTTGGCCTTCTCTTCCAAGTGACCACGAAACTGCACGTCACTCGATATGTCGACTCCGAGGATACCGATACTGGCTGAGGCAAGAAGGGGAGTGCCTTGAAACTGAGGAGATACGACAAAGGGGTTCTTTTTAGCGGTAAACGCGCAAACTTGTGTCTTCTGAGGATTAAACTGGACTAGATTTAGTCGCCCCCAATCCGAGACTTTGTCCAGCAAAGACTCGATTTCAGACACAAGTTTGTCCCGGTACTCGGCGACGTTTTCCCGAGAAATATTGGCCCGGCCGGTGTATAGAGCATCACCAGTGCTGTCATCCGCATAGCAATGAATGTTACCAGTTAGCAACATATCATTGATATGCAGAAGAAACAGCGTTGGTGATAGCACACAGCCTTGTGGAACACCAGCGTTAATAGGCTTGTAGTCAGAACATGCACCGTCTACAACGACCTTGATGCTCCGATCTGCAAGAAAGCTGGTGATCCAATTGCACAATTTCTCGGGAAGCCCATAGGAAGGCAGCTTCGAAAGAAGCGCTTTGTGCCAAACCCGATCAAAGGCCTTCGCAATGTCCAGACTAACGGCCAACGCCTCCTCCTTGGACTCTACTGCCTCCGCCCATCTATGGGTCAGGTAGACCAGAAGATCACCAGCTGATCGACACCGACGAAAACCGTATTGGCGGTCACTAATCAGCTGGTGATCCTCAAGGTACCGGATGAGCTGGCAGTTAATAATGGATTCCATTATTTTGGAGAACAAGGAGGTGATCGCGATAGGCCTATAGTTGGACGGGTCTGAGCGGTCGCCTTTTTTAGGGATCGGGTGGACAAAAGCTGTCTTCCATGAATTCGGGACTACGCCTTGGGAGTAGGAGTACCGGAAAAGACGCGTTAGGACCGGTGCCAACTCCGGAGCACACGTCCTCAGCACAATTGGGGGGATTCCGTCAGGCCCACTCGACTTCTGGATGTCCAGGGAGAGAAGTGCTTTGCGAACTGAGCGCTGTGAGAATAGCACATCCGGCATGGAGCACTCACACCGCGGGATGGTCGGCGGTATTTTCCCCCCGTCATCAAGAGTCGAGTTGGACGCAAAAAGGGAGCCTAAAAGGTCGGCTTTGTCTTTTGCGTCTTGGGCCAGTGAGTCGTCCTCCCTGTGCAGAGATGGTAGTGATGGCTTACAGAAATTCCCTTGGACAGCCTTGGCGAGAGACCAGAATGCACGGGTTCCCGAAGGAAGGCGAACTAGTTTCTCGCCAATTCTGCCTATGTGCTCTGACTTTGCCTTGGTAATAACTCTTTTGAAGGACCTGGAGGCGAAGTTATACTTCTTTTTGAGTGTGCTGGTGTTTACATCCCGAGTCACCGAAGCCGCAGCCCAGGCTTGATAACACTCCTGCTTACTGCGTAATGCAGTCTTACAGGAGCGACCAAACCAAGGCTGAGATCTGCCTCCGATGGGTACCACAGATGATGGAATAAATAGTTCCATTCCCTGTAGCACCACATCAGTGACAGAGTCAGCAACAGCACTGGGATCATCCGGCGAGAAGCAAACCCGCCCCCATGGGTAGGATGCAAAGAAAGACCGCATTCCGTCCCAATCCGCCGACCTGTAATGCCAAACACGGCGGCAACCTGCAGAACGCAACCGCGAAGGGAGCGTGAGTGGCACCATACTCCGGATCAGACAATGGTCCGAAGAGCCGAGAGGGGCATCGACGGAAACCTGATATCCGTCCGGATGAGAGGTCAGCAGAAGGTCCAACAGGGAAGGTGTATGATCCTCCACATCTGGAATCTGTGTAGGCGAAGTAACCAGTTGTGTCAGACCATATGCCAAGGCAAAGTCATAAACAGATCTCCCCGCATGATCGGTTAAACGTGAACCGAGCCATTCGGCATGGTGGGCGTTAAAATCGCCAAGGATCACGATCTCTGCGGATGGGACCTGTTGTAGCAAGGAATCTGTAGCCATTTGGACGTGGTCGATGAGTCGGTCTGTTTCGGCATTACCGCTATGGGACCTATAGAGGCACCCGTAGACGCGCGGATGGTCGTCGCTGTCTACGCGTAGCCAAAGGATGGACAGGTCCGAACCTTCAAGACTGCCGAGGCGTCGAGAACAGATGTCCTCTCTAACATACACGCAAACTCCAGCCCGAGGCACAAAGGAGTGCTCCAATTTGTACCCCGGGTAGGAGAGATACGAAATATCAGTCGGAGAGGAAACCTGCGTCTCGGTCAAAAAGAGCAAGGCCGGCTTCGCCGTCTCGAGATGGTAGTGGACGGCGTTTAGGTTAGAGTGAAGTCCCCTGATGTTGCAGAAATTCACGGATAGCGTGGCAGGGGTTGCCTTGGTATTTTTGCTCAGCTTGCCCCGAGCAGTTTTGTTTTTGAGCGGAATTTTGCCCCCCCCCCCCAGAATACGCGGGGCAGCCTGAGCACCCACGCTCAGGATTGGAATAACATGGTCGTGGATGCTCAGCGAGGGATTCTCCAGGGGTACTGGTACCCTCCTGGGGTAGTCTATTGTCTAATTCCGCTACCATGTTGATGGGGGGGGGGGGAATTGGGCCTCCGGCCACCTGCACTCACCAGACGAAACGCAGAAGCAGAGCCTCTACTTCACGCCGGTATTCTGTGAGGCTCTGTGAGCTCAGCGGAAGCCATTTTGGATTACAAGTGGTATCAAAACATCGTGTAAACGCAAAAGGAAAATGTACTTTCAATTAAAATCTAAAAATGATAAACTTAAATATAATGCATATACAGCACTTTTAAAAAAAGTTATTAATAAATCACAACGCATTCAAAACAACAATTACATCAACAAGTCTAAAAATATAATAAGATCTACGTGGAAGATAATAAATTCAAATAATTTCACAAAGCCAAAAGAAATTTTGAAGAGTGTAACTTATAAAGGGAAAACGATTACTAAACCAGGTGATATTGCAGAAGCTTTTAATGATACATTTATGAATCCTGTACAGAACTGCAAACCAATAAATTACAGAAATAACATTGAACGTATATCAAATCCATTGTTTATGAATCCAACAACGCCCGATCATATAGTTAAAATAATTAATAGCTTAAAAAATAAAACAAGTGTTGGTCACGATGAAATAACTACTAGAGTAATAAAATTTTGTAATTTTCAGTTTGCTCGGCCGCTTTGTCACATTATCAACTTAACTATAAATAATGGGATTTACCCTAATAAGCTAAAAATATCAGTAATTAAACCTATTTTCAAGAAAGGGGATAAAGAAGATTGTAGAAATTATCGCCCAATTGCTCTGGTTTCTGTCATTTCCAAAATTTTTGAGAAAATCATATATACAAGCATATATAATTATTGCGAACGATTCAATTTATTAGCAGATGAGCAATACGGATTTAGAAAGGATAGATCTACGAATCTAGCCATATATCACATGATAAAAGTTGTATCGGAATGCCTCGACGATCGCGTTCCAGTAACTGCTATTTTTATGGATATGTCAAAAGCTTTTGATTACGTAAATCATGAAAAGCTTCTGCAAAAGTTATATATGTATGGTATCAGAGGACCTATATTTGGTCTTGTATCGTCATATTTAAATAACCGATTTCAATGCACAGAAATCTCTTATGTTAATGAGGAAAATCGATCTGAAGTGCAGGTACGATCTCAGTCGCAGCTTGTAAAGTGTGGTGTACCCCAAGGAAGTATACTTGGGCCGCTTCTTTTTCTATTGTACATCAATGACCTACCTAGACATGTGCAGCATGGAATGATCCTTTTCGCAGATGATTCTACTGTTATGATAAAAAATAACAGCAATAAACCATACGAATGTGTTATTGCTGAAGCTTTGTCTGATATTATCAATTGGATGAAAGCTAATGATCTCGTCATAAACCTAGATAAGACAAAATATATGCAGTTTTATCTTTCCCAAAACCGGAAACAAGAGACTGTTGTTGTTAAGTATGAGGGGCATTTGATTGAGCGAGTAAAACAAATACGTTTCCTTGGTGTGTTGGTTGATGAATGTGTAAGCTGGAAACCGCATACCGAATATCTTACAAGTAAAATTAGTAAATTTGTTTATCCTCTAAGAAAATTAACACAAACTGTCTCACAAAAAGCTGCACTTACTGCTTATCATGGATACGTTGCCACCAACTTAAGATATGGTATCATACATTGGGGAGGCGTGGCTGATGTTAACCTGTTGCCATTGTTTAGTATGCAAAAAAAGTGTCTCAGAGCAATGTTTGGTGCCAAACAAACAGACAGTTGCAGACCTCTGTTTGTAAAATTAAGAATCCTAAATCTGCCCTCATTATACATATACCAAGCCTGCTTATTCGTCAAGAGTAATTTACATTATTTTAACTCGCACATTGCTAAGCACCCGAGGCAAACAAAGAATAATGTTACTATTATACCGTTTCACACATCTAGGACAGCCTTTTTCTCAAAAAGTTTTTATGCATTAGGACCAAAAATATATAATCATTTACCTGACAAATTAAAAGATTTAGAAATAAAAAAATTTAAGCATAAATTATTAGAATTATTGACTGAAAGATGTTTTTACTCCTTAAAAGATTATTTGAGCTCCAAACTTACATTCTAAATTAATTGACATTTGAAATATTTTCTGAATTATGTTTTAAGCAAAGAATATTAAAATCACTACGTTTTAGTTATAAGCTTACATGTATTTTGACATATCAATATTCCATTCATAGACTTAGCTTATACTGGCATAATTCTATTGTACTTTTGACATTATTATTTATTATCCACGTTTGTTGATATATTTCATTGTATGACATTATGTTATTTGATTTTATTTAATGAATAATGAGATAATGTTTTAAGTTCCATGATTTTAATAATATTGTAAGCCTTATCTAGGCAGGTTGTGGTGATACTTAATTACTTTTATAGTGATAAATCTTTTAAACCTACAACTATCACAATAAATGACTTATTCTATTCTATTCGATTCTATTCCATTGAAATCTCCTAACATAATAATATTTTCATTTTCCTTACATTTCATCAACACCAGCCTTACCATGTCCCAAAATTGCTCTCGGATATAAGTGGGCTTAGACATATCTGGGCCGTACACCCCAAGCACGAACAACTTCTGTAAGCCCACTTTCATTCGTATCCACAGCAGCCTTGGGGTTACACATTCATACTCTTTCACACATTGACCCATTCTTTCTGAAAGGATGACACCGACTCCCTGGCATGCCCGCTTGGTCTCGTCTACACCAGACCAGTAAGCGGTATACATGTGCAGTGACATCTCTTCCCTTTCGTTTCGTCTCATTCACACATAACACATCTATTCCTCTATCATTCATCATTTCGCATACTTCATCCATCTTATCATTACAATTAAAAATTTCAATAACGCACATATAAACACCCTAGTGTTAGTTACAAATGGTTTAAGGTGCATATGTGTACGTGTTTTTACAATAGGTTGAACATGAGCATAGTTTCCGCGTCACTTGTAAGGTACTAATTTTCTATCTGTCTTTCATTGTTAGTTTGAGTTGTTAATCTAAAAATGTTAATAAGTTATAAACAGAAAGCACTGAGTTATGAAGAAAAAGCAAAAAGGAAGAATTGCCTAATTACCTCCCACAGATGTCGTGAGAAATGATTAAAATAAATACAAAACCTCAGTGTATTCTCACCCTTTCCATGTGGTATTATTTTTGTTACAACAATTTTCAACTCTGGATATGTGATCATAGAGTCCACTCGCGATTTATCGTTCGTTTTCGATAAATTTTCAATGCTTAGTTCTTTTAATCGGGGCCCGTCTGAAATAAATAAAAAGGGGCATGTTCCTAGCAGCGGTAGATAAACAAAATCATATAATATGTTGATAAGAAATATAACTATCCTTATAGGGATCGATAGAAGATGCACAGTTGCACAGATCGCATATGCTCACATCAGCTTTACAGTTCTAGGTTTTTCTGTATTCCCAAGTATTACTACACCTGTTAAATTAATTATTACACTGCAATGGACGCATGTTATGGACTTAATTATTAATTACCATGAAAACCTTATGCAATAAAGATAGAAAATGACCTATTTACAATAATTGTAAGACGACGTGTAACGAAATTATGTGTAACTATGTATGTTTAGAATAATAATTTACTTGAGGTTTGATTTAACTAACAGTTTATAAAACTATTACTGTAATTAATAGAATCGGTTGTTACTTTGCGGAAATCTATTATATTAAACATATTAAAATTAATTAAATAAGTACCCAAATTCTATGGAATAAATTTGATTATTTCTGTTTTCTGTAAATTATCAAACTCCGTGTGGGTACACGGATGGGTGGTGCCGTTAAAGGTATGTAAAATTAATAGATTTGAAAAACTTCTGTGTTAGCGATTACTATCATATTACAAACTCCAAGTATAAAATAGACGAATGCCTAATATCTCCTTTCTCAAATTTAACAAGTGACAAAAATTAAAGTCGTAGTCATCAAGTGCAATTGCTGAATTTAAACAATAACGGGTAGCGTCATTTTATCCTGTAAAATATACTTTGCTGATGCTCTTTTCCTTACAACTTAATTGTGCAGTTTACCTTGTGGTTCTTCTTGTGTTTTGGAGCTAGACGTGTCTCCATTAGTGACGGGCGGCTTTTTACTCTTCTCATTACTGTACCCTCGGCCACGTGCGTGGGCTGAAAAAAAAAACATTTGATATAGATACTTTTTCCTTCATTGATTAAGGCTTTTCCGACAACATCAAACGCGCAGCTGCAGCCATATTATAGTTGTAGCACGACTGGATTGAGTCGACCGGGGCAGTGACACACTCCCACAGAATACCAGCGTAAAATAGCAGCTTAATGCTGATGTATTTCATATGGTGAGTGTAGAGAATCAGAGTTCATTTTTATTTGATACGAGGCATTCCATCACAGTCCTCAGAGGCGACAATACATCTTCATTTTGATTCTTAATTGAATATAAATAATGTAGACGTCTGTGGACCTCAGCCATCTACTATCAGGTGGACTGTGTGCTTGTTTTCACCCTTCATCATCATCATCATTACAGCCCTTCACAAGCCCACTGCTGAACATAGGCCTCCCCCAAGGAACGCCACAAAGCACGGTCCAGAGCCACCTCGTCTTCCTGCATATCTTATTTCTCACTCCATCTAGTGGAAAGACACCCTACACTTCGCCTACCGCCTACCGATACAAGGCTGCCACTCGAGAACCTTCCCCAGCGGTTGCCTGTTGTTCAAGCTATATGGCCAGCCCATCGCCACTTCAGTTTACTAAGTTAGTTAGACTAGTTCTACTGCGGATATCCTCATTTTTCTCCTCTCCATAGACTTTGAGCTTTCTCATACGGCCAGCAGTGAAATACCACGTCTCAGATCCATGGCAACACGCACTGAATGTACAATCTAGTTTTGAGATTTTGTGGTATGCCTGACGAGAAGATGTGTCGTAATCTCCCGAACGCTGCCCACGAATTTAATCCGTCGATCGACCTCTCCGTCGAAGTTGGACTTACCTTGTCGGACTTACCTAGTATTTGTCCCATTTAAATATACTCGTCAACAACTTCGAGCTTAGTGCTCCCAACAATTACCGGCATAGGTATGACATGAACATTACACAAGACTTTTGTTTTGTCCATTTTTATTGTTCATCTTAAGAACTATCCGCTGGGAAACACTATTCCTGCAGCGATTCTGCCATTAGGACTATATCGTCGGCAAATCGAAGGCGAGTGATGTATTTCCATTGACGTAAATACCGTATCCTTTCCAGTTCCGTAGCTTGGAAACGTCTTCCAATGCAGCGGTGAAGAATTTCGGGGATATTACGTCACCCTGTCGTCTTACACCTCTCTGCAGTTGGATAGGTTTCGTACTCTGGTTTTGTACTCGGATAGCAATCATAGCCCGACTGTACAAACATTTCAGCACTTTGATATACCGACAATCAACTTCGCACCGTTGAAGGGACTGCAGCACCACCCAAATTTCAACGGAATCAAAAGCTTTCTCATAGTCACATAGACAAAGTGGCAGATTGTAATCTTTGGCCTTCTGTACAATTTGCCGAAGGGTGTATTTGTGGTCTATGGTGCTAAAGCCTTTTCGAAAACCGGCATGTTTGGGAGGCTGGAATTCATCGAATCTGCGTGCGAGACGATTTGTTATAACTATCGAAAACAGCACCTAGACGCGGTTCAGAAGGGAATTCGCTCTGTAGTTCTTCAAGAGAGCGTTGTCGCCTTTCTTTACGAACTAGACTACCGCACTGCTGATCCACGCGTCCGGAGTAGTGCCACCATGGAAGACGGAATTAAAGAGCCGTAATTGAAGGACTTTAAGTACCATGTTTTCACCCGTTTTCAGAAGCTCCGCTGTAATTACATACTCGCCCGGGAACTTGCCGTTTTTAAGCCGCTGGAGGGCCATTCTAATCTCGCTCAGGTGTGGCTCCAAAAATGACGTGTACAGATGCCTATAGAAGTTCTCAATCTCACTCAAAATCTCAGGTTTCCCGGAAACGATGCTGCCGCATTCGGTCTTCACCTACGACAATTCACTCTCTCTTCGCTCTTCCTGGCAGACAGATCTCTAGCAAAGACTTTGGAGCACTGGTTTCACTCGATCGCTTCTTCAATACGAACTGTACTGAAGTTGCGTAAGTCCCGTCGCATGCATTTGGAGTTCTGTCTGTTCAGTTGCCTGTATGCTGTCAAATCTGTTAACGACGGCAGCTTGATCTCCCGTCTAACAGCCATGAAATTAAGAGTGTGATCGGAGAGTTTTTGTGTTCTTCTGCGATTGGTCTTACAGAACTTAGCTCCAATCGCATGGACAGTTCCCACAAGCTTATCATTCATATCGTAACTTCATTGTAGTCTTCTATGTACTGAAAACGACTTTGTTACTCGAGCTGATGAAATTTTCGGGGCTTTGGATCAGAGCACGAGGGTCCATCTCGTTAACCTCATTAGACGTGACCTCTCCAACTTAACGTTTAGGTTCATTGTGTTCAGTTCATTGGGTGATTGCTGCCAGTTTTCACCCACGCGATCAGTGAGACATCTCAGAACAGTTTTTGTCTAGTCGTCATAATGAAGTAATCTTATTATTTGTCAAAGCGTCGAGGCTCGACCAGGTCCACTTTCTGTGGGGCCTTATGGAGGAAAAAGTTAATCATAAAGACTCTCTCTTTCTTTATAAAGTCGGTCAGCTGCAGGCCCCTTGGGTTCCGTTGCCCTATTTCGAATTTCCCTACTTTCAGCCCACCGTTCTCTCTTGCCTAGTTTTGCGTTGAAGTCTCCCATTAGCACCCTATAGTGGGTTTTGGAGGAATTCATGGCTGCGGAGATCCTTATACATTTTCTCCACCTTCTCATCAGGATGTGACGATGTTGGTGCGTAAACTTGTATGACCTTCAGCGAATACCGTTTGGTGATTCTGAGTATAAGATACGCAACTCTCGTCGACACACTCCCAATCTTTACAACCGGTGATAAAACGAGTTGCCGAATTCGAGGATTATCGTGTCCTCCCCTACTCTTCGCATCTCAGATAATCCTATAATATTCCAGTGCAACTTATGTGTACTTCCAGCTCCAGGATCTTCTCGTCATTCCTTAAGGTACGAGCGTTATATGTTGCCAAGTCAAGACGTCTTAGGTGGCAACCAAACCTCCACCGGGGATTCTTAGCACCGCTTGCCCCGCCGTTACCATAGTCGCTACGGTAGCTAAGAATAGCAGGCTCGTCGGGGACTAGGGACCATCTCGTTGTAACTTTATTCATGGGGTTTATATTGCCATAGTTGCCACGCTTGAAGAGCGTATGTGCAACCGCAGTTTTTTTATTGCTGTTATCGGAAAGATGCTACTGCCCATCTTCTGCCTTATTTTCGATCCGTCGCCTCTTACGACACACGGAAAGTTATGCAGCAGTGGGTATTCTTACCCGCCACTACACGGGGACCCGTTCACCCATATTTTATATTTAAAAAAAAATATAGATTTTAACGCGTTTAATTATTTCTACGGTTACCGTTACAGCCTATCAAAAGTACACTGCTGAACGTAGGCCGGGCCTATAAATTGCCTCATAGGGTGCAAATTTGCCATAGTTGTCACATTTGGCAGGTGAGTTGGCATACGCAATTTTTTAGTTTATGTTATTATAAGGAACACGCCGCTACATATCTACTGTTTAATTTCTGTCTGTCACCTCTAACGAGGCACACGCGGGACACTTACCAACCCAGACCCACTCCTAGGTAAAAAGTTGATGATTACTACGGTACAGTAACAGTAACTTCGTGAAGTTATCCGTGAGTATATCGCCGTGAACTGACAGCTTTAGAGAATCCACTAACCCATTTCCCCTAAGTGTCATAAAAGGCGACAAAGGAAGATTGAAACAGGAGATGGGCAGCAGCATCTTACTGATAACGACTTAGAATAATAAAAAACTGCGGTTGCCAACCCGCCTAACAAGTGTAGCAACTATTGCAAATTTAGCCTAGTTCAGCTGTGGATTTTATATTTAATAATGAAGATCAAATACAATTGAAGCTGAAAAAAACAAGCAACATAGGCATTCACAAGAAAACAAAGATAATAGATGTCCTTCAATCTAAGCCAGAAGTGGAAATGGGCAGGACATATTACTAGTTATAATGACAAGAGGTGGACTCATCGCGTGCGAAGACCGATGTAAAGGTGGGCTGATGATATCATAACTGGAGGAGCGTTGCTATAAGAATAAATGGAGGAAGATAGTGAAGGTACCTACGGGAGACTACACATCAAGGGTAATTGAAATAATAGACTTGAAAGAATGAAAAATTGTGAAAGGATTAAATTAAAACTATAATAATAACGACTATGATGATGATGATGATGTATGTGTATACGTACTGTTGGCGTAGACGGTGGCGCGGTGTGGCGCCAGCTCGGGAAGTGCCAGCGGCCGCCGGCGAGCTCCTCGTGTAACATCACTGCAATAGTAACCACATACTGCTTTCAATTCACCCATAGTTTCGTCTGAGTAGGCTCTACTAATAAGGCGTTATTTAGATTTATGATAATCAAAGGTCATCTATTTAAAAAAAAATTTAATCGATATTTTTAAATAAACAAAAAGTCGATCAAATTTTTTAAGATAAAATATAGCCTAGATCACTCCTGGGCATTGCTGTCTGCACTGTGCATCTGTTCATGAAGTTACATTACTATAGCTTCAGCCATTCCAAAGATTAACCCGGACAGACAATCAGACAAAAAAAAAATTATAATCCTAGTCATTCATGTCTTAATGGCATGCAAATGTCCTTAGCTTAATATATTTTGATATTACAGATATATACTTCAATGTGTATATACAGAGTTGTGTATCGCTAGCAACGCAAAGTCGGGAATTTGTATTTGGAAAAATCCAAAATTAGGGGCTTTTTAGGTGCTAATTAGGTGCCAAGTTTAAAAATTAGGTGCTCTAAAATTTTCACCGCAACGAACTGTTGAAATTTGCGTTGCTAGCAAAACGTCTCGCTAGCAACGCAATGAAGTTATTAGATATACGATAAATATTAATAGCAAGGAATTAAGTGCTAATTAGGTGCTGCAAGTATACGCAATAACAAGGCGCCCTAATAAAAATAAAGTCATTATTCAGAACATAGCAGATGCAAAATTCAGATTTCCTGAAAATCAAAATACAATCAAAATTGCTTTCAGAAAAAGTCCAAATTAGGGGCTTTTTAGGTGCTAATTAAGTACCAAGTTTAAAAATTAGTTGCTCCAAAATTTTCACCGCAACGAACCATTGAAATTTGCGTTGCTGGCAAAACGTATTGCTGGCAACGCATTGAAGTTATTAGATATACGATAAATATTAATAGCAAGGAATTAAGTGCTAATTAGGTGCTGCAAGTATATGCAATGACAAGGCGCCCATTTAAGTCGTTATTCCAAACAAAGCAGATGCAAAATTCAGATTTTCTGAAAATCAAAAAATAATCAAAAATGCTTTTAGAAAAAGCCCAAATTAGGGGCTTTTTAGGTGCTAATTAAGTACCAAGTTTAAAAATTAGGTGCTCTAAAATCTTCACCGTAACGATCGATTGAAATTTGCGTTGCTGGCAAAACGTATCGCTGGCAACGCAATGAAGTTATTAGATATACGATATATATTAATAGCAAGGAATTAAGTACTAATTAGGTGCAGCAAGTAATATAAAATCGTTATTCAGAAAATTATTCAGTAAACCAAATGCAAAAATCAGGTCTTTGTGTTTGTGCCATCTAGCGTCTATCGTACTTACCACCTTGATAGTCCATCGATTTTGATTCGATAAAATGACTAGAACTATAGAACGTTGTAGATGGCGCTATTTATTACAAAGCAATTTACTAGAAAGAAAATATCCTTTCGATTTAGTACACTAAAGTTTAGGCTTCACCTGTCTAAAAATAAGAATAGTAACATTTATTTAGTTGAAAATTATATTAAATAATATTATAGATTATATTAAATCTGAAAAACATAAAATGCCGTTCATACCTTATAGTAATTGTGGTTTTGAATCCGATAATTTCCAGAATATTACCGTCATTTACATGCGACCTCAATAATCTTTCAGCACCTAATTAGCATTCAATTTTTAGGTACTGACAAATAACAAAAAATACCGTTCATACATTATGGTAAGGTAATGGTGGTCGTGGACCCCATAATTCCGAGAATAATATCTTAATCTGTATCGGGTTTCGATAATCGCTCAGCACTTAATCAACACTTAATTCCTTGCTATTAATGTTTATCGTATATCTAGTATATCTTGCTAGCGATACGTTTTGCCAGCAACGCAAATTTCAATCGATCGTTACGGTGAAAATTTTAGAGCACCTAATTTTTAAACTTGGTACTTATTTAGCACCTAAAAAGCCCCTAATTTGGGCTTTTTCTAAAAGCATTTTTGATTATTTTTTGATTTTCAGAAAATCTGAATTTTGCATCTGCTTTGTTTGGAATAACGACTTTATAGGGTGCCTTGTCATTGCATATACTTGCAGCACCTAATTAGCACTTAATTCCTTGCTATTAATATTTATCGTATATCTAATAACTTCAATGCGTTGCCAGTAATACGTTTTGCCAGTAACGCAAATTTCAATGGTTCGTTGCGGTGAAAATTTTGGAGCAACTAATTTTTAAACTTGGTACTTAATTAGCACCTAAAAAGCTCCTAATTTGGACTTTTTCTGAAAGCAATTTTGATTGTTTTTTGATTTTCAGGAAAACTGAATTTTGCATCTGCTATGTTCTGAATAATGACTTTATTTTTATAGGGGCTCCTTGTTATTGCGGATACTTGCAGCACCTAATTAGCACTTAATTCCTTGCTATTAATATTTATCGTATATCTAATAACTTCATTGCGTTGCTAGCGAGACGTTTTGCTAGCAACGCAAATTTCAACAGTTCATTGCGGCGAAAATTTTAGAGCACCTAATTTTTAAACTTGGCACCTAATTAGCACCTAAAAAGCCCCTAATTTTGGATTTTTCCAAATACAAATTCCCGACTTTGCGTTGCTAGCGATACACAACTTATATACAGGCTGATCTTTTCCATCAGCCCGGAATAATCCAAAACTGGACCTGTGGCATTTCAAAATAATTACATCGCTATTTGAACATTTAACCGATAATTAATATTTTTGACTCATGTTAAAATATTAAAAAACTATCTAGTAATATAAGCAGCAGTAGGTTAAAGGCGTACGTTTATATATTCGTATAGACTATAGATAAATTATGGGCCAAATTATCACATGGAAAAGTATCATAAAGAGCCTAGGCATATTACAATATGCCTAAATAAAATAAATCCTAATGTGGGGGTAACGTTTTTTAAGAAAAAAAAAAGAATCCTATTAATCAGACTGTGGCACTCGTTACCCTTCAAAACATAACACAACGGTACAGGCGCTGCTGCTTATCGCCAGAAACCAATGATAATGAATACACAACCATGACTTAGACAAAAAAGAAAGAACCTTAGATAACAAATAAAACTTCTTCGTCAGCCCGTAAAAAACATGGAACTCCTTCATTATAGGGGATTTGCTTTAATCATCACGCTTGCTAGGCTTGTTGACAATCATAGTACTAGACGTCACACATTTTTGGCATTGTTGTTCGTCGTTAATTAAAGGATTTTACATTTGCTCTAAATTTGATTTTCGTTTTTCTCACCATATTAAACTTATAATCTTAATTTTTTGACAAAAGAGAGGGTCAAAGTAATTTTTTTTTATAGAATCGGGTGACAAACGAGCACACAGTCCACCTGACGGTAAGTGGTTACTGTGACCCATAGACATCTACATCTATTCTCAATAAAGACTCAAGATGCAGATACGTTGTCACCCGTGAGGACTAAGATGGAATGCCTCTTTGCCAGTAAAAAGGGTCTCCGGTTCTCTACACTCACCATACGAAACACAGCAGCGTTAAGCTGCTATTTTACGCTGGTTTTCTGTGAGAGCGTGGTCCTTCCCCGGTCGAGCCGACCCATTCGTGCTACAACCATAATATAGCTGCAGCATGGCTCTACCACGTTGAAAATAAAGTAATGATCAGATGCCTAAACTAGGCGATGAACCTGTCATCAGGTCACCAGGTCTCCTTCCGATTTGACAAATATAAAAGTATGTAAGCTTAATTCGATGCTTAAAACGTGATAGAGCCACGCTGCAGCTATATTATGGTCACGCTCTTACAGAATCCCAGCGTAACATAACAGCTTAATGCTGCTGTGTTTCGTATGGTGAGTATCAAGAATCGGAGACCCTTTTTACTGCAAACGAAGCATTCCATCTTAGTTTTCAGGAGTGACAACGCATCTGCATGACTGATGCCTAAACCAGGCGACGAAACTGTATTTCAGGTCATTAGGTTGACGAATACAAAAGTATTTTAGCTTAATTCGATGATTATACCACCATCTATCTGAAGTCATATTTTTTGCCGTTTTTCTGGCATATCCCATAGTGGCCTCATTCGACATCCACGGGACGAAATGGAACGATTGACTTGTTTATAGACAAATAACACTTATTTATATAGTACAAACTCACTCTCTGATATGCTCGCCCCAAAAGTCTTGTACAGGTGGAAAATGGTAGGTGTTCTGGTAACCGTAGCTGTCCAGGCCACTTGCTCGCAAACTTGCATGTAATGAGTTCTTCATGCACTGCAACTGTACGTTCACAGGTAAGAATATGCAGCATTCTTTTTTATATGAGTAAGAATGAAGCGGACTGTATTGGGAATATGACAACTTCTCATGCTGACTTGATTTTCACATAGTGTTGTACCGCTGATTACCAAACGAGGCTCTAGCGTCAGATACAAAACGATATATTCAACTCTGAAAGCATATTCAACGAACGATGAAAGGGAGCAGCATAACCAATACGTGGGAATCGACTTGCAGTTAGTGTTATCAGCTAGTAAATGTAATCAACCGGCCCTGTATGTTAAAAGCAAATGTCTTAAAAAAAGTATCATTTGGCATATTCTTGGAAAGGCCTATAACCAGCAGTGCATTCTCATGGCTGATTAATAAAAAGGAGAAGAAGCCCAACCAACTAATGATGGGATGCACATCTCCACTGTGAATTTCTTACAGCCGGTAAATTTAAATAAACTTTGAAGTTAATTTCAAAAATCTCCCGTTTCATAAAATGTGTCTAAAATACTTCCATTCATTATAACCTATAAAAGTTCACTGATGAACATAGGCCTCCCCCACAGGTTAACTTACAGGGAGATGAGCTTATCAACTATTACCATAGTAGCTTGCTGGGCTTTACAAGAGCCGCAATGTCTTTTACTGATAAAGAGGTATTCCATCTTAGTCCCCAGGGGTGACCACATATATTTATTCTCAAATAAATGCAGCTGTCTATGGACCACAGCAATCACCTACCATCAGTTGGATCATTTGCTCGATTTCAAAACTTTCTTCTATAAAAAAAAAAACATAACGACATTATAATTATAAAATGTTCGTAACGTAAATCTAAACACTCTGTATACGCATCATATATATTAATATATTTTTAATACTTAAAACTTTATTTCTAAATATACTCTACATACAGTAGAGTATATTGAGAAATAAAGTTTTAAGTATTCTAAATGGATATATTATCTTTGATCTGAGATCTGAGATCAAAGATAATATACAATAAAGATTAAGTTTTTGGTAAGTATCGTATAGTGTGCATCCGTCCAATAGTACCTAGTTACTATTGTAATATTCGATGTAATTTTTAGCATCAATTATATTTATCGTGGTAAGTGATGTTATAAAATGATATTTTAACGCATTACATAACGAGTTTACAATTCTGTATATCGGGGAATATTTTTTTATTGTTATGTTGTCATTCTATATTATTAGAAAATAAAAAAGGAGTTTGAATAAAAAATTGATATATATATATATATCTACATTCTGTAAAAACTAAGACCAAACACAAGCTTTTTATACCAGTTATTTGGGCTCCACAAAGTCAGTAACTTATTCATGGATAATGGTATACTCTTTTACTATAAAGTCCCAGAAAATAAGTGTACAAGGTACCTCTACGCTTTTATTACAATTATTGATAACCGAAGATCGCGCTTATTTGAGGTCATTAACGTTCCTAATTTTATTTGAATCGCAGTATAAGAACTAAATTCTCAAGGGCTGTACTTCAATAAACGTGAGCGTCCTGGTATACCTGTCTATTATTTAAATAAATATTTTATTTGATAAAGACTATCGGAACATATTGTATCTGTATCTACTGCATGTAAATATTATTGACGATATTTTCTAATAGTACTAGCACAGTCTATAAATCCATACAGTCGTCCGACGAAGACGTCTAGACAGGGCAATCGCGCGGGGTGTGGGAGGTGAGACGAGGGAAGGTCTTCCTTCCCTCGTACGATTGGCTCTTGCCCGAGCTGCTCATGCCAATCGTATTAGTAGCTCGGGACACGACTTCCAGGGTTAACGCGCGTTTGCTTTTATAATTTTTAAATTTTGTGTTGATACTTATAATTAAAATAGTTCATACGACGTTTTTTTTTATAGGATCGGGTGATAAACTAGCACACAGTCCACCTGATGGTAAGTGGTTACTGTGACCCAAAGACATCTACATCTATCCTCAATAAAGACTCAAGATGCAGATGCGGTGTCACCCGTGAGGACTAAGATGGAATGCCTCTTTGCCAGTAAAAAGGGTGTCCGGTTCTCTACACTCACCATACGAAACACAGCAGCGTTAAGCTGCTATTTTACGCTGGTTTTCTGTGAGAGCGTGGTCCTTCCCCGGTCGAGCCGACCTATTTGTGCTACAACCATAATATAGCTGCAGCATGGCTCTACCACGTAGAAAACGTGTGCTGTGAGAGATAGCAAGTCGTCATCTCGCATAAATAAAGATCTGCGATTTCACCCAATACCGCACACGGAAGAAAGGTATATAAATATTGTTATTATTTTTACATTATATTTATTTTGTCACGTCATGCCAAATTGCCAACGTAAAAAAAAATGGCGGACCTAAAAAATAGGTACTAGTTGCTGGGCACTACTGTTTCGAAGTTTGATTTTTTTCTTCGTCTAAATCGTGTGGTTGGACAGGCTAAGGTTTTAGACCATACTATAGTGCCTCGTCTTCGATCTTTCGAAGTTTTATAAAATATTAAGATTTAGGGGTCAATTTTTAGGTTTGTCGGGGTGCTAATTTCGAAAATAGCGTTTATTTTTAAATCCAAGATGGCAGTCATTTTTTAATATATGTATGATATGGATGTCAATTTCGAGGTTTCTTGGGGTGCAGATTACGAAAATGGTATTCATTTTTAAATTCAAGATAGTGGATATTATTTTTTTTAAAGTTATGGATGTCAATTTCAAAGTTTCTTGGAGTGTTGATTACGAAAACGGCATCCATTTTCATATCCAAGATGGCAATTTTTTTTTAATAATATGATATGGGTATCAATTTTGAGGTTTCTTGTGGTGCTGATTACAAAAATGTAATTCATTTTTAAATCCAAGATGGTGGACATAATTTTTTTTAATGTTATGGATGTCAATAACGAGGTTTCTTGAGGTGCCAATTACGAAAACGGCATCAATTTTCATATCTAAGATGGTGGATTTTTTTAATAATACAATATGGATGTCAATTTTAAGGGTGTCTGGGGGTAATTATGAAAAATTATTAATAAGTATTGTATTTAAAAATTTCAGATGCAAATTATGGATGGAAGTTATTGGAAGACCTGATTTAGTTGGAAGAACTTTAGAAAGCCTAAAGCATCAATTATAAAATAAACTAATAATTCAATGTATGTAGTCATTGTAACGTTAATAATAATATGGATTTGATATCTAGCTAAGAGTATAAGAACGATTTTATGTAGTGAAACTGAGGTATGGCCACATATCGAGAGTAGAGCACTCCCTCACGTTGTAAGGCGTGCAATTAACGTTTTGAGTACTTTCAGGAAAAATCTAAGAACAAATTGTTACTTATTTTTCATATTAGTAATCATACTGTTGATGACGATGTAGATCTAAAATAAATAATTAAATTAGTAAAAGTTGTTAATTTGTGACAACCCTAACCTCCATACGCTGTCTAGACGTTGTCGGCATTTACCACAAGATCAAAGGCGTCATCCTACTGTATGTTTATTATACTGTGGTACTAGTAATAACATTTTAGGTTAATTATGACATTTAACGTTAAGGATATCATTTTACGTTAGTGACTTTTTTACATTACCTATATTTTATCACATTAATGGCAACATTAAATGTTAGTAGCACTTATTTATTCTGTGGTAGCTTCTATGTATACTATTTAGACCGGCTATTCAGAATAAAACTTGTGTCACAGCTGTAAATGTGCCACGCATTTTCATGTACGACAGTGTTACTGTTTTTATGCAAATACGAAATAAAGTTACATACTGTTACATCTGAAATTAACTTCAAATTACGTTGATAAAATGCAGTGAGCACTAAATAATAACACTGTTTAAATAATGATAGTGTTTTCTTAGTCAGGTAAAACAAAATCCGTGTTAGACTGTCGATAACGATGTTCACAGTTAACAGAACAAAGAGCTAGTCTTTTTGCCCGCTCGCAGTTCATAAAATGAGTTTCGGAGAATTGACTGTAACTTGGTGCCGTGTAGAGTACATAGAATTCTATGGCTAGTAATGACATTATAATGAGAAACATTTAATGTTAGCGTCGACATGTAGTATTATAAAACAGTGTCACGTGGCATTATGGAACGAAATACGGACGCGAGTCGCCGTCAGGGCCGGATTAAGCCATGTAGTCTCCTAAGCAATGCGTTCCACTTCCTTTTTCAAGTTTTGATCTCGCGTAAAAATATTTTTTAAGACCGTGGAGTCTTTAAAGACGTGGGCTTTGGCGTATTTAAGGTTATTTTCATATTTGCAAGCCGAACTCTGATGTCATATAATGTTAACTTAGTGGGAATTTGATAGGTATGAATTTTATTTTGCTGTACATAGATTATTTATTATAGATTAGTTATTTTGCAATTACCGGTCAAGTTTGGAGAAGGTTTAGAATAAGCAGTATAGGCAAATGGTGAAGAAAAATTTTATAAAAAAAATCACGTGTGCAGTTCTCACGCAGTAAAAGTAAAACCTTCGAAAATTGCGAGTAAAATTGCGTTTTAATAGCGCCATCTAGTTAATTATAACGTTATTCTAACGAACAAAAATTTATTGATTCTTAAGGTGGTACGTAAAATAGACGCTAGATGGCCGAAACACATGTGTTATTTTTTCTAAGGGTTTATTTTAACAGTTAAAAATTATACTAACCACCTTTAAAGCACCGCACTATGAGGAGACCGAGTTATTAGGAAATGCTGTGTACTGTATTCTATCTCATTCTTTCACAGGGTAAATTGATTAATAAATTGGTTAACTTGATTTTCCAAAGTCGCCACATTTGGCGACCAATTTGTCTACCAACTTGTCTACCAACTTTTTTAAATTATTATTTAGTTGTTATTAGGGAGCCGCTGCTGCCCATCTCTTGTTACAGTTTCCCCCTGTCACTTTACGACAACCGCGTGAACATATGGGATGGTGGTATCCCGACGACACCACTATCGCACACGTCGCCGAGCTAATCTGGTCCTGGTAGGATGTGTTCGTGTGAGCGAAGTGCGACTGAGGGACATTTGCCATAGTTGCCACGCTTGTTCACAGTTTTAGTTAATAAGTTATTATCAGGTAGACGCTATAACCTACTGGCCGTATCAGTTTCCCTCTGTCGCTTTATAACACTCGCGTATTAGAATCCCATGGTATCACTATTTGCTAAAGTAACTTGGCGGGCGGGTTGGCAATTGTAGTTTTTTTATAATTTTGAGTTGTTATCATCAGACAGACACTGTTTTCAATTATTTGTTTGAATTTTTCGCTGTCGCCTCTTATAACACCCACAGGACGATATGGGGTAGTGGATAATTTCGCAACGTCATTACATGGTACGGATTTCCCCGTCGATAAAAAAATGGGCCGGCTTGCGGTAGTGGTATCCCAGAGCGCCACTATCGCAACCGGCGGCGCGCTAATCCAGCCCTGTGCGGCGTGTGCGTGTGCGCTTGTGCGACGTACGTGTGCGTGGCTGGCGGCGGCGCCGTCGAACAAGAGGTTCGTGACCGCGCCCCCCGCGTCGCGGGCGTCGCGCGAGCCGCCGGCCGGCGCCAGTACCTCTCTGCGCTGGCGCTCGGCGTCGCCGCGCAGGCGCCGCACGAGGCGCTCGGCGTCCGCCAGCCGCGCGCGCAGCTCGCCGCGGCTCTCCGCGCCCGCGCCCGCGCCGCCCGCCTCGCTGTCCACCTGCCGCGCCTCCAGCGCTCTCAGCTTCCTGTCACACGGGTTTTGTTGTTGTAATTACAGTGTTATACGACGTGGTAGAGCCACATGTAATATTGTTGTAACACGAATGGATCGGCTCGACCGGGGTAGAATCACGCTCTCACAAAATAACAGCTTAATGCTGCTGTATTTCATATGGTGAGTGTAGAACCGGAGACCGTTTTCACTGCAAACGAACCATTCCATCTTGTCATTCCATTACACTCCACTTTGTCATTCCATTCCATGTCAGTCATTCCATTCGTTGTCACCCATGAGGTAGTCCTCGGCATTTTGATTCTTAATCAAGGATAAATGTATGACGTCTATGGGTCACAGCATCCACTTCACATCAGGTGGACTGTGTGCTCATTTGTCACCCCTATTTTATAAAAAAAGCAGCTGCAGAGAAATGAATGTAGTATATACACTTGTCTTACTCATCATCATCATTACAGCCCTTCACAAGTCCACTGCTGAACATAGGCCTCCCCCAAGGAATACCACAAAGCACATTTCCGAGCCACCTGCATCCATTGACTTCCTGCATGTCTTACCAGGTCGTCACTCCATCTAGTGGGGGGACGCCCTACACTTCGAATGCCATTACGAGGCTGCCACTCGAGAACCTTTTTCCCCCATCGGTTGTCGGTTCTTCGAGCTATATGGCCTGCCCATTGCCACTTCAGCTTACTAATCCGTTGGGCTATGTCGGTCACTCTGGTACGAGTGGGCGGATATCCTCATTTGTAAATTTATCACGCAGAGAAACTCCGAGCATAGCCCTCTCCATAGCTCGCTGAGCGACTTTGAGCTCCCTCATACGACCAGCAGTGAAGGACCACGTCTCAGTTCCATAGGTGATCACTGGCAACACACACTAGTTGAACAATCTATTAAAAATCTAGAGGTTTCGAGGTATGTCTAACGAGTAGGTGTGTCGTAATCTCCCGAACGCTGCCCAGTCGAGTTGAATCCGTCGATTGACCTCTCGGTCGAAGTTGGAATTACCTAGTCGGACTATTTGTCCCAGGTTAACATATTCATCAACAACTTCGAGCTTAGTGCTCCCAACACCTACCAGCATAGGTGTGACGTGGACGTTAAACAAGATTTTTGTTTTGTCCATGTTCATATTAAGACCTATCCGTTGGAAGACACTATTGAGGTCATTGAGCATAGTGCTTAGGTCCTCCAGCGATTCTGTCATAAGGCTTATAAGTCGGCAAATCGAAAGTGAGTGATGTACTCGCCGTTTTTATTTTATTTTTATTTATTTTATTGAATAAGGTACACAAACTTAAACAGATGGTCGCCCTCCCAGTGATAGAACAAGTTGCTGGATTCGAGGATTACCGTATCCTCCCCCTCTCTTCGGACTTCGGATAATGCTATAATATTCCAACGCAACTTGTCTATCTTCCAGCTTCATGATCTTCTCATCAGTCCTCAGTTTGCGTGCGTTATGAGTTGCCAGGTCGAGTCGTCGTAGGTGGCAACCGAACCTCCACCGGAGATTTTTAGCACCCCCTGCCGCACTGTTACCATGGTCGCCACCGTAACCAGGAATAGCGGGGCCGCCGGGGACAGGGGGAGGTTCATTAGTGTCATTGCTCATGGGGGTATATTGCCATAGTTGCCACGCTTGGCGAGCAGCTTGGCAACCGCAGTCTTTTTATTGCTTTTGCTGTTTGTTATCAGAAAGATACTGCTGCCCATCTTCTGCCTCAGTTTCCCTCTGTCACTTTTTACGACACCCACGGAAATATATGGGGTAGTGGATATTCTTACCCGCCACTGCACGGGGTGTCTTACTCACACTAATATTATTATAGTAGAAGTAATTTTTCTCTTACAGAACTAGAATCTATCAGAGCTTAGAATACGTAGAGAGTTACATATACCTAGAAAAATCCATCCCATTTCTTAATTCTAGAAACAAAGACGAGATTGACAGGAGAATAAACATGACATGGAAAAGTTTTCGAGCCGAAAAGAAATATTGAAGTCTAATCTACCTGCGAAACTGAAAAAGAAAGTCATGGATGGATGGATGTTTACTACCCTTTTTTTCATACGGATCACAAACCTGGATCTACAACAAAAAAGCGACAGACAGAATAGAAAACACGCAGCGTGCTAAGGAAAGGAGCATCTTGAATATTATCAGGTGGAAGTGGGCTGGCCTCGTAGTACGACTGTCAGATGAAAAATGGACGTATCCAAGTGGCAAGAGAGCTAGAGGTCGTCCTTAGGAACACTGGGTAGATGAGATCAAAAATATGCTGGAAACGGCTGGACAAAGAAAGCAAAAACAAAAAAAAGCTGGAAACTGTTGAAGAAGCCTATACCCGCCAGGGGCCTTAACTATATAAAAGTACATAATCTTAGTATAATCCAATATTCAGTTTAAAACTCTGTAAATTAAAGAAAATAAAGAGGCTTTATAATTATTATGTGGGGTATCTATATAGTTTTCTCATCTGGTTAAGCTGAAACATAAATAAATATAAATAAAATAAAGTAAATACATAAAAAATACATAAATAAATAAAAACTCATCCAGATGGAAGCCCTCGGCAGGAGAGACCAAACGGCCGAGGGTTAGGGGGAAAGGAAAAGGAACCGGCGGACGATGCGGGCGGTATCGAGGAGTACCGCCTTCTGCATTTGAGCTTGGAGCGGTCCGTCACGGATCCCCAGTCGCCTCATATGACCCTAGAGACTGACTGGGATTAACCCGTTCGCAGAAACAACCACAGGAATAATTTCGGTCGGCAAACCACCCCACATGTCAGCAACCTCGTGAGCCAGGTCCAGATATTTTGTTCGCTTATCTGTTTCGGCTTTCACGAGGTTCTCGTCATACGGAATGGTAATGTCGACCAAAAATATCCTTGACTGTGCACAATATCAGGCTTATTCGAAAGAATAGTCCTGTTTGTGATGATGGCCCGGTCCCAGTAGAGCCTGGCGTGGTCATTTTCGAGCACGCCTTCCGGCAAGTACTTGTAATACGGCAATTTCGGGTCCATGAAACCGTATTTCAGAACGAGCTCATGGTGTAGAATTCTGGCTACTATGTTGTGTCTGTACAAATACTCAGAGTTAGAAAGCGCCGAACAACCGGAGATGACATGCCTAAGTGACTCACCGGGATGGCGACAAGATTCACAGATGTCGACGGCGCCATCCTTTAGGGTATATATCCGATAGTTGTTGGTCTTAATAATCCCGTATCGCACAGACAAAACCCTCGGTTTCCCCAAAGAGGTCACCAAAACGTAGCCAGTGGAGGGTGGCAGCTGTGTCTACAAAAGGCTAACGTAGAGCCTTGTAGAACCTTCCGTGGAGCTTCTTCTCCTTCCATACGGTCTCCCGATAGGAAATGCACTGTAATGCTGGGTCTTGCCATTGCTCGTTGGCTAAGGGTAGAGGAGTAAGCCCTTTATCACACGAAATGACGTCCCTGTAGAATGGATCATCCGATCTCGCCAGAAAGTAATTACGGAGGCTGCACACTTCGCGATTATGCATGGTGACAGCGCTCAAAAAGCCGCGCCCACCATGTATCCGCGGCAAATAAAGCCTCATTACTGAAGATCACGGGTGATGTATTCTGTGGGCCGTCACAACAGTGCGGACTTTTCTATTTAGAGCATTCAGTTCGATCTGAGTCCACCTGAGTATGCCGAAGGTATACATGCGAACAAGCATGATCCAACCGTTATATGCGTATGTCTTATTCACACCGGACAAAAGGCTGTTAATCGCTTTGGTCAAGCATACATAAAACACATCGCAAACTGACTGTTTTATACCAGCCTCATCTATACCGATATTCTGTAACATACCCAGGTATCGGTATGTTTCAGCCTCGGAAAGGGTCCTTATGTTGATGGGCGTAGATAAGTCTATGCCCTCAGAGTTAGCAACCACTTTTTTTTTCTTTCAACATGGAGGACCGCACACTTATCCGTCCCCAACTCCATTCTAATACAATTACTAAAATCACAAGTGATGTTTAGCAATTCCATAAGATGGGATCGACTGGAGGCGAATAATTTGAGATCACCCATATAGAAAAGGTGGGTCACTTTTGTCCCTCCTTTCCGAAGTCGAAATCCCCTCCCGGAGTCCTCCAGTAAGGTACTGAGAGGGTTCAGGGAGAGGCAAAAGCATATTGGACTCAAACAATCGCCCTGAAAGATACCCCTTTTTATCCTCATGCAGCTTTCCGCATCCGTCATCCGCTCGCCTAGATGACAAAGGATTGTACTCCACTGTCCAATACACTACCCGAGGAAGTATCTAACTGAACAGTCAACCTTGTACAGCTCGAGGACTCTCTTAAGCCATGTATGGGGCACCGAGTCGAATGCCTTTCTATAGTCTATCCAGACGGCGGAGAAGTTCCGACGGTTGCGTTTAACGACTTTGCCAATGACCATGTCAATGAGGAGTGGTTCCTTCGTTCCACGACCACCACCCAGTGTTATTATTATAAATTTTTTCCTAGACTTTCCGAAGCTTCAATGCTCCACGTTAATTTTATGTACTTCACGTCAACATATAGCTGATGTGAAGTACCGTCGTTTCGGAACATTTTCAGTCTATTAACAACAACATCGTCCCCGCCATAAATCGTCGCAAAAGTACACAGATTTCAAGGATATACTCGAGGCTATTGAAACAAAAACATTCAAATTTCGATAGTGAAGATGGCTGAGTGCTACGAACTGCTTGGGAACCTACACCACGATTTTTTGTTCAGAATTGGTGGTCTTGTAGTATACATAGAAAAGTCTTAGTAAATGTGCATATCGTACTCAGCCTGCGCGTCTAGCTGCCGCTGTAGCTGCAGCGCCCGCGCCTCGGCCGCGCGCACCTCGACCCGCGCCGCCGCCGCCTCGCGCTCCAGCCGCGCCACCTCGCGCCGCAACTGCGCCTCCTGCGATACAACTTATACTCAGGATTAAATCAAACTAATTTTACGGATTTTATCGCGTTTAATTTTTACTTTTTTAATTACCAACGTTTCGCACCCATGGTCACAAGGGGGACTGAGGTGTTTGACGTCCCAATTTCATAGTTAACCCGGCTACCTTCAGTTTATTAATTTAATATTCACAGACATAACTCGGGTGGAACGTGGACCAATTGAAGATTTAAATAAAAGTTTATAAAAAATTATTACTTCAGTCAGTCCCGTATCGAATGTAAAACAAGCTACGCACCAGATCAAAGAAAAATTGACGACTTTATCTCGGTACGTTATTACAACCATTTTTCTACAAATGGGGCAAGGACAACGTAGTTATTTAATTTTCTAAATGAAATGCAACAAAACTATGAAACAAAACAAGTAAAAGCAAACAATTATTTCATGTTAGCAGTCTTAACTACGGGTCACAACGCAAATCTAGGTCAATATCTAAATCCGGGTCACTAATGGTGACAAATATTGCAGTGGGGCGCGAGATGTTCCCAAATGAATTAAGTCCAACATGCCAATTAACTTTTTTTTTGTAGAAGACAAACGAGCACACAGTCCACCTGATGGTAAGTGGTAGCTGTGGCCCATTGACATCTATATCTATCTTCGTTTACGAATTAAAATGCAGATGCGTTGTCAGCCGTGAGGACTAAAATAGAATGCCTCATGTAAAAGGGTCTCCGGTTCTCTACACTCACCATACGAAACACAGCAGCATTAAGCTGCTATTTTACGCTGGTATTCTGTGTTTTTGTAGTAGAGTTCTATTATAATTACTTCATTAGAACCTCTTATCGTACTAGTGATGACTACTGATAACCATTTACAATATACAATGCTATTATATAACAAAAACCAATTATCTGGGTTTTGACCCGACCTGGGATTCGACCCCGGGACCACTTGACCAGTAGTCGCGCTTACGATCACTAGATCAACGATGCAGGCGGAAAACTGTTTCGTTGGTCTTTCTGTCAAGAAATAGGTCCTCCAATCATGTCGAATTGCCGCCCCATCGGACTAAAAGCGTGAGCCAATACACATTCTTGCACTATAATCCCGTCATGTTCAGATGGCTAGTCACCGTTAGTCTGGCCGTCGTGACTAAAATTCGGTCTCGAGGATATTATAATTTTGTTTTCGGTTCTACGGTGAAACTTTTGAAACGAAGTTCTTTATCGGACGGTATGGGTTTGGCGGATGGGAGCTAGGTGACAAAAAGTGTAAGATTTTTTCGTCACTACCCCTTGTGTCATAGTGTAGACGGCCTTGGCGGCGAAATAAGGAAGTGAGATGGAATAATATCCATCTCCCTCGCACTTTTTCTTATCTTGCCATGAAAGAAATATTACTTAATTTCAAATGACGCTTCATTTTAATAGACGCTAGTAATTCATTTATTTGTATTTGTTAATCAATAATATAATACCTACGTTTTATAAAAGCTTTTACAAAAATTTACTTCGCAAATATCCGCGTTATAAAATAAAATGATGTGTCTTACCTAGTATGAAGAAGCACCTCCCGCCCTCCCTCAATTGCGTGCACTAACCCCGTCACCACTAATCCCAGCACCGCTACTTCCAACACCACTACACTAGGCAAGACACACCACTGACGATAATACGACACGTGTTTCGCCTCTACACGAGGCATCCTCAGGTGATATAGACTCTACGGTGGCTAACCGCTAAGTGAGCGGCGAGCCAAAACAAGTGCCTTTTATACAAACCGATGATGCAACCGCTCTCTGCCTAACGAGCGAGCGATTGCGTCATGCGATAAAACATGCGACCAATCACCGCTGGACTTACGCAGCCGTTTGTAAAATTAAAAACAAACCGCCGCGCAACGCCCACATTATTAGTGAGCAGGCTTGAAGATATTTAAGAGAGGTGAGTTAGTAACATTTGTTTGTTCATTCAGCAATGCAACGGTATTATTATTACTTTTTAATATCTCTAACTGTTCCAGCACACACAGACGCAGCCCTTTATTACACGTATGTAAGACTTTAAAGGAGTGGTCGTTGGCTAGGTTGTGTCCAGTGTCCAAAAGATGTTTGGCAAAATGGGATTTATCGGGATTGCAATTCCTGTACGCGGCTAAATGCTCTTTATAACGTGTCTCGAAATTGCGACCAGTCTGACCCACGTAAACGGCGTGGCATTCGTCACAAACAAGTTTGTAAACACCTGACTTTTGACGAATATCTAACTTATCTTTACTATTACAGATATTTCTAAGAGAATTGTTTGTTTTGAACGCCACATGAACGCCGTTTTGTCGAAGAGTATTAGCTACTTTTTCAGATATGGGGCCTAAGTAGGTCAAACTGCTCACATATCGATGAACACTTTGAGGTTGAACCGCGTACAGAGAGTTGCGAATAACATGCTTTTGTTTCTTTTTAATTAAATTGTTAATGAGATTTTTTGAAAAACCGTTAGAGACCGCTATTTGATAAATTATATTAAGTTCTTTTAAATAATTTTCTTTACTTAATGGGACAGTGAACAAACGGTTAATGTAACAATAAAAAGCGGCTACTTTATGTTGCCATGGATGACATGATGACGCGGGGATGACCGTGTCGGTGTGAGTTGGCTTTCGATAAATTTGGAAAACATGTGACGATTCTTTTCTTGTTATTGTTAAGTCAAGAAAATTAAGGGAACAATCTTGTTCCAATTCAAGTTTAAATTTAATTTTGTCATGGACTCTATTTATTTTATTGAGGAAAACATCCAGTTGTCTCCTTGTGCCAGTCCAGCAAATAATTATGTCGTCTACATATCGATAGTAATATAAGATATTTTGATTGACAACTATATGTTGTTTTTCGAAATTATCCATGAAAATGTCCGCCATAAGGGGACTTAGAGGGGACCCCATAGCTAACCCTTCTTTTTGTAGATAGAAACGGTTATTAAACCGGAAATAGTTTTGTTTCATACAGAGAGAGGTTAAGTTAAGAAGATCATTTGTTTCCCCGGGATGTAGACGACGTTTTTCAAAGAGATCTGCGAGTATACGCAAACAGTCAGGGGATGGGACATTTGTGAAAAGACTATCAACGTCTAAAGATAACAATATGGATTTAGGAGGAATACGAATATCTTTAATTTTGGAAATGAGATCTAAGCCATTTTTTAGGCTGTAAGTGGGGTTAAATCCAGATTTCTCTCGAAGGAGGAAGTTTAATTTTTTAGCAAGGAAATAAGCTGGTGCACCAATATATGAGACAACTGGACGAATAGGAACATGTTCTTTATGTATTTTTGGTAACCCATATAAAATGGGTGCTTGAGGATTCATTGGAACAAGATTGCTCCGAGACAAGTTGTGATCGGGAAAAACATATGATGACTGTTGTATACATAACTTAATATCCGAAGTAAACTTTTTGGTTGGGTCAGACTCCAATAGCTCAAAGTCATCACCTTGGATAACATCGTTAACTTTCTGGCTGTACCCACTACTCTCCATAATAACAACAGTATTGCCTTTATCGGCTTTAGTAACAATAGGTCGTTTTCCCTTATTCTCTGCTTTAGAGACTTAAAAACAGGGAACTCAGGATTGAAATGGGAAGACGTGGGCACAGCCCGAATTTCATTAGCTACCAAACTTTTAACGATGTTATCTTTCTTCCCGATCACAACAGCCACCTCCGCGTCAACAGCCATAGTCTCTAACGATTTTTGGGAGACCGAAGGTGTTAAATTATACTTTAGGCCTTTATGTAAAAGGGACCACTCATCTGTTGGAAACTGGACATCGGAAAGATTTTTAACTCGGGGATAAAATTGGTGATATTCTGTATGTATGTCGTTATTACGATTACGGGATGAAGAGGATACAAGTCGTTGTAATTTACGGGACTGAATTTGATATTTCTCATAAACAGCCATTGAAGCAAGTTCTCTGGCTTTCCCATCCAAAATATCAAATTCAATATTATGTAATTTATATGAAAGTTCAGAGTATAATACTTTAAGGTGGATTTTTAAATTATCTCTATTGGAAAACCAACGACGACACTCCTCATTAAGCCAAATGTTCTGAGCTTTAGAAATAGCAATACTGGCCGCTCGACTATTTGTGCTGGAACGTATTTGAATATAATTGGGAATAACATGAAGTTGTTTGCACTGCTGATTGAACCAAACATTTTGGGCAGCAATACGATGGAGTTTTGTTAATTTGACATAGAGTCTTGCCTGGTCGGCCGTGCTAGCCTTTTTAATATAATTAATAGAATCAGGCGTTACTTTGCGGAAATCCATTATATAAAAGCTTTTACAAAAATTTACTTCGCAAATATCCGCGTTATAAAATAAAATGATGTGTCTTACCTAGTATGAAGAAGCACCTCCCGCCCTCCCTCAATTGCGTGCACTAACCCCGTCACCACTAATCCCAGCACCGCTACTTCCAACACCACTACACTAGGCAAGACACACCACTGACGATAATACGACACGTGTTTCGCCTCTACACGAGGCATCCTCAGGTGATATAGACTCTACGGTGGCTAACCGCTAAGTGAGCGGCGAGCCAAAACAAGTGCCTTTTATACAAACCGATGATGCAACCGCTCTCTGCCTAACGAGCGAGCGATTGCGTCATGCGATAAAACATGCGACCAATCACCGCTGGACTTACGCAGCCGTTTGTAAAATTAAAAACAAACCGCCGCGCAACGCCCACATTATTAGTGAGCAGGCTTGAAGATATTTAAGAGAGGTGAGTTAGTAACATTTGTTTGTTCATTCAGCAATGCAACGGTATTATTATTACTTTTTAATATCTCTAACTGTTCCAGCACACACAGACGCAGCCCTTTATTACACGTATGTAAGACTTTAAAGGAGTGGTCGTTGGCTAGGTTGTGTCCAGTGTCCAAAAGATGTTTGGCAAAATGGGATTTATCGGGATTGCAATTCCTGTAC